TTTTAATGTTTCTAGTCAAGACCTTTAATAAAAAAAAGTAAAAGTTTTCCATAGTGTTGCAAGGTCCCATTTTTCAGAGAAATACCACGATTTTTAATGTTTTTTTCAAATTTAATACATTTTTTGTCCTGTTAGGCTAATCAAAATAGCATATTCAAATTCCTCGTGAAAAACTGCATCGACTAGACCTATTTGTGATATTCGTCAACAAAAATATTATTATAAAGTATATGGAGCTAAGCTATCATATAAGTGCCAAAATATGCTATGTTACGGATTTTTTTGCAAAGCTATCTAGTTTTTTGTATCTCAAGATATAGTTAAGTTTCATATACCGTTAGAACCGCCAGACATTGCGCTTCAAAAGTATAACTTTAGTTTTTCGAAATATTGGAAAAGAATACTGTTGAACTTTGGCTCGAGACCGGCAAAACATGAAATTTTGTCAGTAATTCGAAGTTTTCTTCATCGAAATCCTATCAATTTGCAATAAAAATAGTAGATTCAGAATCAGCGCAAAAAGGTTGCATCGACTAGAATGATTTTCGTTCATTTACAAAGACTTTCATGTTTTCATGAGAATCTAGACCTTTTTCTGGGGTCAAAATTTATCAAAAAACGAAAGTGCTTGTAAATTAACGAAAATCATCCTAGTCGATGCAGCTTTTGCGCTGATTCTGAATCTACCCTTTTTATCGCAAATTGATGGGATTTCGATGAAGAAAACTTCGATTTACTGACAAAATTTCATGTTTTGCCGTCTCGAGCCAAAGTTCAACAATATTCTTTTCCAATATTTCGAAAAACTAAAGTTATACTTTTGAAGCGCAATACCTGGCGGTTCTAATGGTATATGAAACTTAACTATATCTTGAGATACAAAAAACTAGATAGCTTTGCAAAAAAATCTGTAACATAGCATATTTTGGCACTTATATGATAGCTTAGCTCCATATACTTTATAATAATATTTTTGTTGACGAATATCACAAATAGGTCTAGTCGATGCAGTTTTTCATGAGGAATATGAATATGCTATTTTGATTAGCCCAACAGGACACAAAAATGTATTAAATTTGAAAAAAACATTAAAAATCGTGGTTTTTCTCTGAAAAATGGGACCTTGCAACACTATGGAAAACTTTTACTTTTTTTTATTAAAGGTCTTGACTAGAAACATTAAAACATATACATTCGTACTCAGCTCGACGAGCTCTATCTAACCATATATAAGAAAACGAAAAAAAAAAATTTGTTTTAATTTTGCATTGTTCGCACCTTACAGAGAAGAGTGTGGGAGTAGGTGAAGGTGCGAATCTTCTCTTATCTTATCCACTTTCATACTTTCTCTGTTTCTATTATTCATCCTATTATGCGTAAATTTTTTTATCTCAAGTATTTTTCTAAAAGTATGACTATTATTTCCTATAATATCTGTTATTGTATTAATAATAAATTTGGTAATCAAAAATATTCATACTTTTTTTTATTGCATTGATCTTAATTGTTCATATGCGAATACAATAGATCTGGATTTTTAGTGAATATAAATTGAAAAATCTTTATTGGAGTTATTTTTTCGCATCAGATAAACTCGAATTAAACTTTCACATAGACTCACCTAGCAGACCGCGAAATAGGCCACCTGATCCAGTATGATCTGGCCCATGGAGATTTTTACTCCGGGCTGGCGAGCCTAAAATTCTGTCAGGCTGCTCGGCCCGAACTTTATTGGATTTTGCAAGAAAGATTTTCTAAGTGAGAAAAAAATCTGATTCTAACCAAGTTTCTTCTAGCTAAAAACCAATTAAAATGGGACTATTAACATTTGATTAAAAGTAGATAATTCGATCCTTAATCGATTTACATGGTAATGATCGTGAAACGGATTTTTCTCGAATTTTAAGCGTAGAAACTCAAACTTTTGGTCGTTTTTTCGAACTTTTCAGGTCAGAAAATCGTAAGTATCACACTAGATTATACTTTGCTAGATACATCAGGCGTTGAGATTGAGTACCGATTAATACTGGCTCATGTAAAAAAGAAGTTTTAGTTAAATGAGATTAGAATCGATTATTTTATGAAGAAGTATCAATTAATATGGCACTATTTGATTCCTGTTAAAACTTGACTCGTTAGCTTTAAAAATAGATTTTATCTAATTTTAATCTTTCTTAATCAGTTTCTAAAAACAGATTTTAATCGATAAAGTTTTATTGGTGGATTAAAAATCGATTAAAAAGACTAAAATCAATTGAAATTCCTTTTTAAAATTTAGAAATCGAATCACAGTGAGAGTTAATCAGCAGCATGTTAATTGGCTTTTAACAAAAAATAACTATTTTTATTCTGACCTTTTGCCAAAGTTTTTTACATGACCTGTACATCTGCCAACTGCCAACAAGCTTTATTATGTGAACGTTTGGAAAATTTCATTTAGGCAATAAATGAAGACAAAGTATTTATTCAGTTTGATGACATTCCTCAACCACACACAGAGTCGAGTGAACTATCAACTGCATTAAGCAGCATGAACATTATTGAAGTGGAACAGTATTCAATATATAATAAAACTAACAGTATAACTAGAAATAGTAATCGATTTGACTCTTTGAAATTAACCAGTGGACATTTTACTTGTGCAAAGTTCTTGCTAATAAGTGATAGTATTCCAGAAGTTGGAGTACCAACGAATGCATCTTACTCTTTCGATTCAATAAGTGATTCAGCTTATCTCACAAGCTGTGGTTTTCAAGCTTTAAAATTGTCTAATCTTATTCAATTCGAGACCACCATGATAAGTAATAAACTGTTTGTAATGATCTGACAAATTACTCCAGTGATCGTTGAGTTTCATCATGTAGAAATAAGTTTTTTTTGTAAAAGAAATATAATTATAATAGTGCCATTCGAAGTCGGACCGGATAAGCATGAGTAAGTCTTAGCCCGGTATGGGCCGGATTGGTCCATGAAAAAGTGGCCCAATTTTGAGGTCTGGTACCTAAATATGTTGAAGTTTCATTAATCCCTAGTAGTTCCCTATGAGTTATGTCTATGTTTTATTTTTGGTAAGTCTACGTGTATTTGAAACATATTAAGCTACATACAAGCATCATGGAAATATTGAATACTGCAGTACAAGCATGTAAAAACTTAAGAGTTATAGAACTTGGACGAGCTAGAATCTACCTTAGATATAGGCTTCGTATGCTAGGAAAAACTCAAAGATTTTTTTTCAAATTTCATAATAGTAATAGATTTGTGTGGTGTATTAAAATTTTCATATAAATGTTGAAATTATTTGCTATTTACGACGGTTCATAGTACGATTCCTCCATTGACACAAACATAGAAAACATTTTTGAAGACTATAAGTTCTGAATTGTATTTTAGAAAATGAAAAAAATAAAAGTCTGACTTTCGATTGCGACTCAAACATACATTATTACTGTTATATTCAAAAGTGCAAAAATTATATATGTATCTTTTCCAAGACAATAATATTAGACTTCGAAATCCATAGTTTACTTTATTGTGTTCTATTGTTGGTCGAATATAAACTAGTCGAATGAGTGTTATGGCGAGATATCTGGAAAACAAATACTTCTCTCACAAATATTATATACTTAATTTATACATTCAGAAGTATCGGGAACGATTTTTAAAAAAATATTGGAATCATTTTAAATTTAATTTTTCTATTATTTTCGACTGAAAAATTTTTGAAAACTAGACTTAGTTCCAATGACATCTAATCATTTTAGATTACTCTTCAGTTATGTGCCTCGCATGATTTTTTCATGAAAGTAAAATTAAATAAATCTTAATAGCTTTGAATCTTGAAATTTGATTTTATATTTAAATATTTCAGAGGGATATTCTTTCAGTGGGATATTCTTTCAGTGACATCTATACTGCTTATTTCATGTTTTATTTTAATTTGTAAATTATTTAGAAACGATTGAATAAGAAGAGTCTACAAACAAAATAAAATGAACCATTAATTTTTGTATTGATAAAAACAACATATTATTGGTAGAGATGATTTTTCGAAACATATGTTCGAAAGAATGATGTTCATGTTTTGTTTGTGATTGTGATACTGCGCACAAGTCACTTATGATATATGTGAACTTTATACAATGTATCAAACAGATGATTCATTAGTTTCGAAGCAAAATAAACAAACACGCATAATTTGTCTTAGTTATCAACAATCAAAATTAAAAGAAAAATTAAAAAATCTTCAATATTTTATAACTAATTTGGGATTCTATAGACCAAAAAACAATGCTATGATCATCAACACTATGATACAAGGTTTTTATAGTTCAGTATTTCATTTAAGAGAAATGCCGAAATAAGAGGATGGGCATAACAATTTCAAAAATTCAAATCATCTTTCCAGAAAATAAAACTCGAGTAAAATTTAGGTATGTTTAGAAAGAAGAATATATTCAATTAACATGGAATAAAAGAATTTCTTATTTTTTTAAAACTTATTTTCAAACAAATAGAAATAATTTTATGTTTTGAAAAGTGTACATAATAGGATTGTAATTAGAAACTAGGAATCACTTTCTGTCATTCTATTATTATTATATACTATGCCATTTAAAGATATATGCTACAATTGTCTGTCTTTTATGTCAAATAAATTCGATAAAAAAACTATTTTAATAGATTTAATGCAAAATATTTTAGATAATAGTAACTCATTCTTAGTCACAACGAATAATTTCTGTCAATATATATCACTTATGGTAACATGTCGAATCATACATACTCTACGATTGTGTGTATCCCATCAGATGAAACATGAATTTATCATCTTATTATTTTTTTTTTCTTCGAAGTACACGTAAATAAACAACTGATTTTATCTTTCAGTGTTTCAAGCAATTTGATTTGTACTTTCAAAAAAAAAATTGAAGTTTTCTCGAGTCTTAGCATATATATATATAAATATCTGTTGATTTCAATATGAAACAATAGGCATCAGAAATAGAATTGATTTACTTCGAATTTAAAAAAGAAACTAGGTTGATTCAGTGTCAAAAAGACGTGAATCAATCCGATTACTGATAGGCATTTGATCTAATTCAATTATATTATTTTTATTTTATTTTAGATTTTGTATAAAAAAAAGAGTCTTCTTCTAATGAAGTTATTAGTAATTATTTTGAGTTTTATTTTATTTTCTCATATTTATGGATTGAATACAGATGAATCAACTGGTATTAATGTATTAGAAATATTAAAAGCAAAAAATTTATCTTGTGATCTTCATATTTTTATAAATTCAACTGACAATTCTCAAGATGAATATAATGCTTTCATAAATGATCTAACACAATATTGTTCAAATTCTGAATCAACAAAACCATATCGAGTTCTATGTCGTATGATATTAATAGAACTTGAAATCGGTTGTTTATTTCTAAATAATACAAATCCATTACCAGTAAAATATATAACCTCATATACACCAAATAAAATATGTTCAACAAATAAAATATTATATATAAATCGTTGGATATGGGATAAATTAAAATCATATGAAAAAAAACAAATTGGTACAGCATCGATGGAATTATGTTTTACAATAACTTCATTTAATGAGACACTTCGATTGGTAAAGTTTTTTTATAAAATTGCACCACGTATTAGAGAAATTGATACATATGATATAAAATCTTTATCACATCAAATCATCGCTGATTCATCTGCTAATAAAGTCAGATTAGTTAAAAAAAAGCATTTCAAAAAAACAAATAATACAAGTAATTAAGATCCTTTTTTTTGTCTTTCGAGCTTTTTTTTATTATTTAAAATAGATGAGAAGAAAATTGAAGAAGAAAATCAATTATCAATTAAAAATATGAGTAAAGATTCTCTATTACTCAAACACAATATCGACGACCAAATAACAAGTATACAATATATTTTTTGTTATTTTTTCAAAATAAAATAAAACTTTGTTTTTGTTTTATTATAGAAAATAAAACACATCTAGTGTTAGACTTGAAACAAGAACAATTCAACTTTAGTAAATTATTTCTATGCATATTTTTTTTAAAGTAATTATTTTATTTTTTGTATTTAAGATATTAATAACACCAAAAACATAGAAAGTAAGTTTCAAAAAAGAATTTCTTTTGATAATAGTCGAAAAACGCCAATATACTGTTGAGATTAGATAAAAAAAAAAAAAAATAGTTTATTTGATTTTCTTTTCAGGAAAAAATATATAAATAATGATGATAATCATGCTAAATATTATTGATTATTTTGGTGCAAAAAATGAATTACATGTTGGAAAAAAAAAGAAATTGATTAAGAATACCTTAAACAATCGTTTCATGTTCAATGATAAGATTTGTTTCAATCGAAATAAGAGATGTGAGGCGCAAGCATTTTTCGTATTCTGTAACTTAAGTGACGAAAAAACCTCATTAAATGATATACTCCGTTTGAGCTCATAGAGTAAATAAAAACTGCGAAAAGGATTCTTTACATTATGCTCTTGTCCTCGAGTTATGATCATTTTACTGAATTTCTAGCCTGTTGCAACGTAGTATTATCAAAACCAAATTGAGGATTTTCCATCTGAAATGTCACCCCAATAATAGACCTCATGGGTCTTATAATCTCTTGAAAGTTTCAGTTAAAATGAATGATATATCACCAAGATAACAAATGTAAAACAAAAAAAGGTCTTTTCTCACAAAAGATTCGAGAAAATCTTATTTGTTTAATATTCAACATCTTGAGAAGAAACCATCCATTTTGGCTAATATTTACAGAATATTATACGAGCCATGAGGTCTAGTTTTGGATAAAATTTCAGATATAAAATTTTTTGATTTGGTTTTGTTCCTAATACCCTGTAATAGACAGGAAATTCAGTAAAACGATCATAACTCAATAACAAGAGCCTAATGTATAGAATCATTTTAGGGTTTTTATCTACATTTTCGATAACGTAAACAAATACTACTGTCAAGTCAAAAGTTTGACCTTGCTGAAGAAACTTCGCATATTGACAAATAAGAAAAATAAGTATAGAGCGTTTCGTGGACATTTTTCAGTTGTCATACAAGGGAATACTAAGAAGTCAAAGTGAACTATATTGACGTGCACACAACAAGTTTTGTAAACTAGCCAATATTCATGCTAAAATCGGTATCCCATAAGTAAAACATGTATTTGCAGCCTTGCGGGTACTAACATTTTTGAAAAAAAACCACTATTCCATGTTTGAAAATTCGAAACTTTGTAACCGTTGACTCTTAAGCTAATTAGTTCTGAAAATTTACTCTATGTGCATCAATATAATATCATTCATAAAGTTTTTAACTTCTCCTTATGATTTTTTTAGATAACAATTGAAAACTATTCATAAAACTCTACACTTCTATTATTCTTACTGGATAACGGAGTAAAATGGCTTTCACGATACCAGTAATAATACTGAACAGTAGTATTTGTTTATCTTATCCGTATGAAAATAAGACTTTGATTGAACCGAAATGGAGATATTTCATTTTTTCTTCATAGCCCTATTTATGATTCACCCTAGTACTTTCAGATGGTTTATTCAAGTTTAAAATATGGTTAATAATCATAATCGAGCTAATTAATAAACAAAAATTAGAAGATTTTTTGTTCCTTTAAGAAAATAAAAAAAATAGAAAGTAGAATCAATGCGATGTTCATTATATTAGAAACGTTTTGAACTTTTTAATTTCTTAACGAATCACGGATGTACTTAAATGTTATCTCTTAAGATTTTTCCGAAATCCAAACTTTTTCAGTTTTTGATTTGATCTGCTATCAAATATTCATAATATATTTTGTTTCAACAACTTAGAATACTAATTTTGTTATCAATCGAAACCTATTGATAACGAAAAAAAAAATTTAAATGAAAGTTTGATTGATTTTTCAGCATATTTTTATTATAGGTGATTTGGAACAAGTAGAGGAAACGGAAAAGAAACTAGTACATGAAAGAAAAAAGAATGAAAGTAATTTATTGTTTATCACTTATTAAAATTAATCAATGATAAATATTTCTAGTTGGAATTCCATTAGGACGAGGTGAAGAATTATCAGGTATATAGTTTTATGTAAATTGTATTTTATTATTGTTATTTTTTCTATAGGACGGGTACAAGTTAATGAACGACCAAGTAAGTCATATTTTTAGAATTAATGAAGGAAAAAAAAAGAAATTTTGTTTTATTTAAATAGAACCAAAAGCTCTAGATATTGAAGTTGTTTTTAAATCAAATGATGGTGAAAAACGAAATTGGATTGAAGGTATTTGTTTAGTTTAATACAATGTGGGATACGGGTACTAAAAAAAAATTTTTAAAACTTGATTATATTTAACACTAACAAAAATTTATAGGACGAGATGGCGAAAATAAAGAAGATAATGAACCACGTTTAAACTTACTTCGTTATAATCGAACGAAATCTCAAGAAAATCGACTTATCATTCCTTCAGTGCCAAAGAAAAAACCTAAATTTAGTAAGATATTATATTTTATTTGTTTTTAATTAAAATAAGAAAATCGATATATTTTAAATCAATAATCGTTCACTAAAAAATAAACTGAACATGTGTCACTAGACTCTATCGGATAGATCTTGGATTCGATGGATACTACTCTGAAAGTTAAAGCCAATTATAAATTGATTCCACTTAAGATCACCTTGAAGATTGCTGAAGAAATGTGTAGGATGTATTCGTCATCGAATACAAATAATTACAGGCTGCTCGAAAAGTCCGAACGAAAAAAAGATCAGGAATAGCTTCTAAGCAATTCAAAGGTTTTAAATATTTATTTTTACAGTTTGATGGCATTTTATTTAAGTTTTCACATAAGATGTCTGTGTCTCTACAGAAGTTAGAACTAGAATAATTTTACTGATGGTCAAATTTGAATTAACTATCATTATAAAACAAAAGCTGCAAGTAAAATTCGACAAAAACACACCAACTAAACCGCATTTCAACAATTGTGTGAAACTGGTACTGTCAAAAATCGATCGTGTTCTGGAAGACCATCTATAGCACAGCAATTACTGAAGAAAAAGTCAATGAAGTTAAGGATGCTTGTGAAAATGGGCCAGGATCAAGTATTCGGTCTATTGTACAAACTTGTTCAATACTACAAACAACAACATATAGGATTATGATGGAATATCTCTTATTAAAGCCATATAGGGTACAATTTGTTCAACACCTCTACGGAGAAGAATTAAATAGGCAGAATGATCTTTCAGAATGTCATCGATTTTCAACAGAACTACAAGTTTCATAAAATCACTGAAATGTCTCACTAATGCAATACAGATATGGCGTGTATTTTTCTAAGTTGAATTTGTAATTATCGTTTTACAATAGTGATTTATTCGAATTTTATCATAAGTACAACTATGTTAATTCGGACTTCTTCAGGTCTGCAGACATTTTCTTTGAAATATATTGAATACAATTTCAATGAATATGTGATTAAACTGTGAAAAAAAAAATTTACATCCGTTGAATTGCTGAGGAGCTATTCATGTTTTTTTTTAGTTCGAACTTTTGGAACACTTTGTGATCGAAAAAGTATCTCAAGCTTTTTACGCGATTATCAAATTCAGATTAAAGATTTCACTGAGAGTATGATTTGGGTTCGACTTTGAAAATATTGAACTCGGCGGTCTCTATTCGTCACCAAGGACAATTTTATTCGAATGATTAGTTGCATTGAACCACGTCGTTTCGAAATTTTTTCAACGGGCTTTATAATTTCTCTGTTTTCATTGTGAGTTTAATATTTAAGTTTGCATTATTTTGTTGAATCATAGTTTTCGCTTTTATTTCCTGTAAAAAAAATACCTGAAAAAACTATTTTTAGAATTGAAAAATTTATAACACAATCGCTCTAAGAAAAATAAATCTTCATCAAAGTGATATGCAAAAATAAAAATATTTTGTTTCGGAGAGTGCGTTAGTCGAGTTTTCGGTTCTAAAAGGACAATTTCGAACATTAAGTGAGCACCAGTCTGTTAACTCCCATCATGAAGAAAACACTAGTTCAATAAATCGCTGATTCTTTATCTAATTTCTAATCTTACTTATTAAATTATTTATTCTAATATTTTATTTTTTAAGAACCAAGATTAAATGTATATCGTGAGGATGACGATAACTGGTCAGACAATGCCATGACCATCTTTCTTGTTTTTACTTTATGTATTATTATCATTTATTTGATACTAAGCAATAAAAATAAAGTAAATGAATCATTTTAAAAAAAAACAAAAAAAGAAAACTCATCTCATTTTTATTCCTTCATATAGATATTAGGTTTAATAATTGAAGGATGCAGACTACAACGTGTAATGCATGGACGTCGTTTTGGTTCAAGTTTTAGTATGAAACGTCTTACTCGTCCAACGCAGTCGATCTAAAAAAAAACTTATTAGATAAAAGCAAACATTTGTAATTGTTTCTTTTTTTTTTTTGTAATATTGTTATTTGAATTTTTTAAACTTCTTGGTTACCTTGTCTTCAGTTAATCTTTTTATTTATGCTCAAGTATTCATTTGTGATTACTAAAAAGTTTATCCAAATCTTGTTCTTAACATATTCATATTAATGTGATTAATCATTTTGAATTGTTTTTTTTTTCAAAAATCGAGCTTTTGCAGACAATCTGTATGATCAATTTGTTTTCTTTTCTTAGTAAAAAATCTCTACTTTATATTCATCATTTAAAGTTAAAAAAAAAATTTTTGTTTGTAATACTGGAAATTAATGAAAATAAGATGAAAAACAAAACTTAATAACTGCTACATAGTTTTAATTAATTGTTATTTTGATGTAGAAAAATAATCTTTTGATGCTTTTTTGAATCTTATTTCAATATCCGAACTTAGCTCAGCTGGCAGAGCGGTAGGCTGTAATGGTGTAATCATAGTAACCTATAGGTCCCCAGTTCAAGTCTGGGAGTTCGGATTCGTCTTTTTCTTTCTTTTTTTTCTTTCCTGTGCATTTATATAGTAGTAATGTTACATTGATGGAATTATTTTTCTCATAACTGAAGAATGGAAAGAAATAGCGATTTGATGTATTGTTGAATAAAATTTTCCAAAGAAAATTATAAAACTTAGAGCTTTTCTTTTCATGTAAAATTTCATACTAATTGAACAGTAGAATTTCAGAATTATTTTTTGAGATTTAGCTGATAGAATCAACTGTCACTATTGATTCAATATGAAAAATATGTCGTTCACCAAAATAGACTTTTTTAACATTTTACTGAGTCTGATTTAATCAACTTCAAGAATGACATTTTAGATTAATAATTTTTTATCGTGAACTATCTTACAAATTTATTTATCTTATAATTCTTTATTCTTTCCTTAAGTCTGCGTGACTGTTTCTGTTCATCAATTGTTTCTAGGGATGCCAGCTATGGTGTAAAATACGTTGAAAGTGGCACTATCTTCGATGAGCTATACTTCCGAACTAGCAGTTTTGATTGTATGCGTGTTTATTACTATATTTGCAATTTAAAAATTAATAGAAAAGAGTGTTTAATAGTATAAAACAAATACTTTGCAGCAAAATAGTAACATCTGAAAAGTTATAATCCAGTTCCAAGATAAAAATAAAAGCAATTGTTTTTAAAGTTAGATAATAACTATCAAATGAAACGTTAACATGAAACGTTTTCTTCAAGCCTACGAAGTTTAGAAGATGAATAAGTGAAATAAGTCTTAATCATAAAAGTTGTTACTCACGAATAAGAAAGAAAACAAATTTTTAAAAATTTCAAACTAAGAAGTTGAATATGGTACTATAAACTTTCACGCATATCGACTTATTAAAATGAGAACAACGAAATGAAAAAGTAATTTGAATTTTTTAGAGAATTTTTCGGTACGTTTTCCTCAAATTTTGTTTTACTTGGAATCGTACTGTCAAGTGTTTTTATGTTAGATTGTGACATTTATTATCAAGATCTCAATCAAGTAGAAGTACTATGTGTGTCTTTGATACGTTCTATTTTTATTTTGATAATTTTCAACTATTTCTTCCTAAAACTGCGAGTCTTCCAAAAGCATAGACTGCTGAAATATCTGTATTAGAACATAGGAATTTCGATGAATTGCAAAGGCGCCTCAGCAAGTTTCACTAAGCTAACATTCATCGAAATATATAATTCGATGGATAACCAAAAGTATTAAAATCACTCAAATATTGTAAAATGTTTATTTTAAAAAATTGTTCATTTTTCTTGATTTAAAAATTTTTGATTGCATAACGAAGAGTTCTCAGAAAAGCTTCATTCTCCATAACTTTTTTTGTTTAAAGAAGCATATGTAATCGTAGGGCATGACGAATCTCGATTTCTTTTTTCGATTAAGAAGTGCTTTTATTAAATTTAAAAGCACTTCTATAAATCGATTTCTATGTCTAGAGAGTTTTTTGTGGTATTGAAATTTTCATTGTTTCCTTTCAAATAAAGAGTAAGAATGGTCACAAGAAAAAGGCATTCTCCGACTCTGTGATTTCACATGCTCTTTCTAACAAAAGAAAATAAATACATATAATGAAGAATTACATAGAATATTGGGTTACTATATAAACTATTTTGGACTCTTTTTTCAAGATCTTTCGAAGACATCATTATATAGAGCTGAAAATTTGATGCGATTTGAATGTATCCGATCAACTATCATTTTAGAAGGTGGAACCTTAAAAATCGTGTTTTGTTAATTATATTTAATTAGTTTCTTTACCAAATGAATCAATTTGAATAACTGTTTTTTGATAGTTTAACGTGGGATCATATCGTGTTGAAAAGCTTATTTGAGATGGTGAAACTTTTGAAGATATTAAAATATGTTCTAACTATTGTATTATTATTGATGATTTACTGTTGATGTTTTCAAAGAAAAAAATTTTTTTTTTCATTTTCGAGCCACTCTCTTCAGATTTTCTTGTCAAAATAATTTACTTTCTTCTTTAATTATTGTTTTAATTTTATTACAACAATCTTAAGCAAAATATTTTGGCATATGTGAATCGGATAAATTACCAAAAAAAAAATCTAAAACATTATATTCTTGTGTGTTATCAAAATGATAAAGCTCGTCACATATGCTGTATAGTTTACCAATATCTTTCGTCAAGAATATTGAAATCTTTTGATAGTAATAATCAAAAGTCTGTTACTACTAATCAACATATTTGTCTATTTGAGACTATATTTGCGAAAGAGCGATCTCATGATTTTTTTTCAGACGCCATACACGTGCACGATGATGGAGAACATCTGAATATTGATTGAGAAACAAATGACAAAGAGAAAGAACCAAAAATTAGAAAAAAAAGATAAAATGTCGTAGAATGTCTTAAGTCAGGAGTTAAGCTTTTCCTAAACGGACTCGCCATGAAATTCTCTTCAAAAGAGATCATCTTCTCTCTAAGAACAATTTAGAAAGTCTTACCAAATCTACTGGTCATTTTTCCAAAAAATCAATCTTAAATTTCATAGAAGCCCCCTAACTATTAAAAAAGAAGCATAAAAAATTCAATTACAACCACAGTTTAGTAACACGCTCATCCTCACGTTGATTGCTATACTGGAAGTACTAGGCATATGTAAATGTGTCACTGAACTGCAGATGAGCCATCAATCCTCTTAGCGATAGTAAAATAGCAATTATTTACACATCTATAATGCACTAATGGCAATAAAAATAATATGTTTGTTATCAACGTGTATGACAGCTTTCATCAATGATGCAGTTATTACTAGACACATGGACTATCACAACTAAATTTTGGTTCATCGACTGATTAATTTCATCATAGTAATTGAGCTGTTATCCTTGACAAATATATAGAAAAATATGAAAAAACTAAACCATATTTACGGTTTTTATCATAGAACCAAAATTTAATATTTATTTGTTAAATCAAAACAAAAAGTTTGTGATGCCAATCTGAAACATGGTGAAATAATAATTCTCAAAAGACATCTCTCATTATTCATTATAGCAAAATAATTCAGCGATAAAGTTCTTATTCTACTATATTTATCATAAAACTCTCGGCGACATAGCTTGATAATCATATTCTTCGGTACATAGAACAAAGTTATTGTGCTCACACGGTGAACAGTTGCTCTTATGGCTAGCCGCTTCAGATCATTGATCAAATAGCATCACGAAAAATCATTACGATTTCTTTTTTTTTTCTTTGTTCATACTGATTGGATCGATTTTTTGGTAGTATGCAATGCATTCGAATAGCATCGAAAGACGGCTGTTGTCTCATAGAGTCAACTCTTATTCAAATTTTTGTGATTCAATATTAAAATAAATACCGTCATTCATAGTACAATTCTGAATAAAGATCGGTCTATGAAGTTGCCATGCTACTAACAACAAATCAGCATATCCGAAGCTTATCTACTCTAGAGTTAATATTAGACTTTTGGAAATGATTTGTCAATATTTTCATATATTAGTATTGATAGCCACAAAATAGAACTTCCGAAAAACCATTCTATTACTTGGAAATGTTTTACTTTTAAAAAATTGTCATCACTACAATGTATCTCATGATGTTTTCGTTTCTTTTTTTTTACTCGTTTTTCAAGCTTAATAAAACACACACGAATTCAATTCGAATCATCGTCGCAAACATTTCATCATTCACTGTTTATATCAAAACATAATATAATTAATAATAGATGTTTTTCATTATAGTTATTTCGTATTAAATGATGATAAAGTATTATGTAACACCAATAAGGGATTTCATCAATGGATCCAGTTCAATTATTTTGTCTTGTTTTTTTAATTTTTCTCGATAATCTTGTGCATTTTTTTGAACTTTAAATAAATCACTAATAAGACGTATCATTTTAATCACTGCTATATCAAATGAAAAACGATCAGTTAAATAACGAAAAAGTAAATCAACATATTTTAAATGTGCATTCAATACATTTTGAGGATCGAACAATATCCAAATTTGTTCATCATTTATTGAAACACCTTTTAGAAATATTAATACAAGCATAAGTATTTGAATAATCAATCTATCATTATCAATAATATTAACAATTGAACGAAGAATAGATAGATATTCTTGTGTTGCTTTATAACCATAAAATAAAATATTTAAACTTTTATGATACTGAGCAAAGATTTCATCTTTTGATGATATTGATATTGATCCAGTATCATCATATAATAGATCACTATTTAAATCAAATATTAAAGCATCTCGTAATATAAGTAATGGAAGAAAATTATATTTAATAAGTGCGAAACGATCTTGATCACATAATGACTCAAATTCTGGAATTAATCGAAGAAAACTAATCAGTTTTATTGGAATAAATTTTTCTATTTCAATTAAATCAATATATGAAAATGTTTTATTTAATGATTCATCCAATGATATAACAGATGAAGCTGATCGATTTGATTGTAATGCATAAAGATAAGCATCTTGAATGTGTGATAAACAAGAATGATCGATATCAGTTAAAAAAAATGATGAATTTAATGAAATACCATTAGTCTAGAAAAAATAAGATGTCATCTTGATTATTATTACTTTTTACTTCTTACTGATTCACTTTTTTTAGCATGACTTGTGGTTTCTGTTGAATGAAGACGATGATTTTGTTCATTATACCGGTTTTTTGATAAACTATTGTTTTGAGTTATCGAATGATCTTTATACATGCCTAAATTTTACTTAGTGTTATTAAAGATAGAGAAAAAAAAATCACTGATACTTGAAGAAAAAAATATTGTTTTAAATATTTATTAGAAATAAATAAGATTTATTACGATAGAGAAAAAATGCGACGTGTGATTGTCGTAAGATAATAAAATTTCTCTGTCTGTTATAAGATTTTAATTATATTGTAAATCATCTGGATCTTTGACAACCTTCAATTTCGATCAGAGGTCGTCATGAATCAGTAGCTAGATTATTTAGTATGTATTCACAAGGTACTCTGTGTACAAATCTCACTACTATCAGTCATGGAATGATTCTGGACAACTCATTAATAACTATTTATCTCAAACAATCCGTCTAATAGCAAATTGACTATATAGTGATATGCATTGGTCTTAGTAACTATTGTCTGTCCAATAATAAGATGGCCGTGGGTATTTTTGTAATAACTTTCGATAGGAACAAGATAGAGACCTGGGATTTTCACCGTTCCACAGAGGACAAAGAGGGACATCGAGACATGCGATTTTCATTGGTCAATATATCGACCAATCAGATGAATTTCTNTTGAGTAACTCTACTTGCACAGTGTATGAGCAATGATTCTCATCTCACTTCTTATGGAAGTTGTAGTGTGTATCACTGTGCTGTCAACATAAAAAATAGTTTCTATGTCGTGTTTAGCAATATATTCAAGTCATCTAATTGTCGAGGATGTCTTGATGGCCAACAGCAGACAAAGATAAGAAATCGCAACCCATTCATTCATATAGGGTGTGGTATTTTCTTTCACACACATACCTCACTTCCACATACCCACACCCTCATTTGATGGTATCGGATAGTTTTATTTTGTAGAATTTCGAATACATTTTTGGTGTTTAAAGCCAATGCTTTTTCTTAAATGATAGTCAAATGTAAATTTCATTTTTTACGAGCTCTTTAGAAGTAACCCATATGATCTAATTGCTTTTGCATCATATACTCGCCATGCCATTCCAACATTTACACCACGATTGTGTACTGTAAATTTTCCTGGTTGAACTCGATATTGAAATACTACTTGATAGTTCTTGCTTGCGCCTATAGAATCTTTTATCAGAAATGCCTTAGTGTAAATCGAAGCTCCTCCTTCGCAATTTGTTGCCACATATAATCCTTTCACATCTGGAATCGACGGATTTTGCTTTTTCGCTTCATCTTTCATAAAATCCGCAGTGACTAACGTATGTAACAATCCTTCATTTTTAATACTTTTCACTGCATCCGTTTTTGTTCCATGGTAGGCCACAGCCCATTCGCCCGAGCCATTATTCATGCCAAGCCAAGCTTTGTCATCAGGGTATTTATCGATGACTTTAAGAGCATGACGATACCATCCTTGTGGAAAATGATATGGAAGACTGCCTCTTGTTTCTTCATGAGCAGACGGATAGTCACGATTGTATTCAGGTTCAAAATCTGATTGCTGCAACTGCAAAAATGCAAGTGCTGGTTCAATTTTATGATCGTACTTCTCTGGAACCAGATATTTCAAAATACTTGGACGTCTTGCTGATGATATCTTGTTCAACTTCTCTGTCAATGATGCAATCGATCTTTTTGATTCTTTGTTTACAATATCATCGCGATTTGTTGTCGAAATCTTATTTAGTTCCTCTTTAAATGATTTAGCGAGTTTTTCGGTTTCACTTCGTTCCAATGTAGTCAAGCTGATCTCGACAAGGATCGATGAAGCTCGCTTCATGGAAAGTACTCGAATAAAATCTTTATCACATCTTACAACAGCACCAATATCATAAATAGTTGTTAAAACAAAATTTCTTAATGATTCAGGCGTTGCTTTTATATCATCATAATTGAGGTCCAAACGAAGATCAAATTTGGCAGTTTGAAAGTTTCCTTCAGAAGCAAGAAATGAATGGATGTTACCGAGATTGGTTACTCCACATGCAGTTCGATAATCGCTATCATTATATTTATAGTCTGCATGAGTAAAGGTCAGACGAGCACCAAGTTGTTCAGCAAGTTCGTTAAGAACTACTACAAATGTCTCAGTATTGTTTACCGCAGATGAAAAGGGTTCGACCACAAAGTCAATTGTTGATTTTTTCTTCACCATGGAGCGAAAGGTCGACAAACAGTTGTATGTACGAACATCCGTAGGAGAATTTTCGTCGTATTTAACAGGAAAGCGAATTTTTTCCTTAGGAATAGGCTTCACTGGTTTGAACCATGCAGGTGTTACGTCGATAGTAACTTTTTCAGTAGTAACATCATTAGACGTAACAATTGGTGTAGGTTTGCCAATGATATTTGCTTGTTCAGGAGTAACTGACTGCGATATCTTTGGTTCTAAAACATTTTTGTAGATTATCGCAAAAGGTTGTAGAAGTACTTTCTATGGAACTTAACTTTGAAATACGATCGAGTCATATATTCTATAGATGCCTTACACAACAGTACCACGCCGACTTTCTCGCGCAACACTTTCTCGCAGAATGTTAGTATGGGTAGGAATGCCAGCTTAGCATTAATATTAGGCAAGTGCTAATGCTTTTGAAATCAGTATTAAGCATTAGAAGTAATGCCCTAACATTAATGACATTAGAGTTAAATAAATGCTGGATTATTAGCATTAATTTCAATTTTAATACATGTACTGCATGTCGATTTGAGAAAGGTACCTAAACATGCTATCCGTAGCATTCCAAGCCCTACAGACATCACCTGTGATATTATCGACAGTTTTTTGAATAGTATAGATGACGAAGCGCAAATCTTTACCTCTTATTTGACTTAATTGTTTGTGAGAGATGCAGAAAAAAAGATGGTTCTTCGGCGCCTCTCGATGCATATGTTGCGTTTTCGACATTCACCGAGACATCCGAGTGTTCCATATTCTCTTTGTAAATGATACTGTCCCTGAGGCACTGTATGTATGGTTGAGATTGGTTTTGCAAATTTTTATGACTTTTGTACAATACCACAGTGCAAAATTGCCTTTGAGATTTTTGAAGAGCATTGATTTTTGGAATGAGATGGTTAAATCTAGATTTTCATAAAGAATAACGTCAGGAATCCAAATCATACAAAAAAAAAACAGTTTAAAAATGACTGCTTGTACACAAACAAAATAGATATATACTAATCAGTAACATCACTAGCATCGCTTTTAATCGTATCACCAACTAAAGTAACTCCTTGTATTTTAAATTGATGTCTTCCACTGATAAGATCCGAAATATTCACAGATAATTTAGCATTGTCAGTTGTCAATAATAATCTCCATGTATCATTTGAATTATTTTTACTATAAATCTTATACTGCTGAATACTTTGACTTCCATCGGTAGGTTTTGACCAATTAAGTGTTAAGCTTCACCTTGAAACATTTGTTCCATATGGTTGTCCTGGTCTACTTGGAATTTCAAAATCGGTTGAAACACCATTTTGATAAAGAATACATGTTACTCCTTTCTTCATTTGAAATTCATCAGCATATTCTTCATTAGCAATAAATTCAATATTTGATTTAGAACTATTGAATTCAGCAAATCGAATAAATGATAAAATTAGATTTTTTATTATCTTAACGTTATTTTCATTAAACCAATAATCGTTTTTTGTATATTGATTTGTTGACATTTGAATTTTATCATTAAAATACTGAAATATTTCGTTTAAAGACGAATCATTTTTTTCTGTAACATGAATAATCAAGCGAAGAACAAATTGATTGGTAAAACTCTTTTGAACCTCAGCGAATGAACACGTTAATAGGCAAATCTTATTTTGTTTTTTTTTAAATCCTTTCGAAAATTCTTTAACTCATTTATTTCTCCTCTTTTAAATTGAATCCACTCACCTATTCTTTGTTTGTCGGATAGAGACAAATGAAGATTTTTCAATAGATTAGCAAGATCTATTTCTTTCATAGAACCAGCGCGAATTTTCGGTAATAATTCCCTTATTTGATTTCTCATATGAATATCAATTTCAAGTATTTGAGTAAAGTATGTTGATATTTGTTCTGTAATTCGATAGAAAATATTAATAGATAATAAATTATTTTTAAAATCATTTAAAATTACTTCCAATCGATTTAAATTATCAAAAAGTTCTAAGGATTTAGTAAGAATATCATCATTAATAAGATAACATTTTTTCTTAGTTTAACGCGAGATAGATCTAATAAATAAAATAGATATATCCATGCTTGTTTTGGTATTCCACAATCATTATTTCGAAGAGCAGAGTTTATCGAATGTATATATAGTTTAAACGTCCTCATGATCTTCCCAATCTAATTCACTATTATCGAGTATTCGAAATGTGTCGAATTTTTCCAAAAGTAATTTGATACAGTTTTAAACATCTACACGATCTTCATCATTGGATAATGTTCGATCAAATATGAAATATATATCACGACCACAAAGAATACTAGTAACAACATAAGTAGCGTTTTGTTGACTTAATACTTCTCAATGTTTGCTATACATTTTATTGATATTAGTCATTGTTAATTCATGAAGATTTATTGTCATTGAATACTTTAAAATAAACCGTAATATTCGATTTGTTTTCTTCTGATCATTGATTAAATATGTTGAATCAGATAATTCAACAAGATTAGCTAGGACACTCAATTTCAGATTGTTATCGATTCCCAGTAGATGTGCTTTTTCTGTGAACTTATCACTTAAATAAAGTTCAGATCTGCTCCATGATAGAGGCTGACGATGAATATATTCCGGCGATAGATAGATCGGAATTCCATAATGATATATTACGAATAAGTCTATCGGTTCTAAAGTCATAAAGCATTCCAAGTTTGAATGAACGACTAAGTGTCATTATTTTTAAAGTTGAATTATTTTCAGTCGACATTTTTTAATTCAGTAATGAATTTTCTACATAGATAAATTATAAAATCAAAAATACACAATATTTATATGTTGGGAAAATTTAATTGACCGTTTAAAGTGTTCACCAAACTAAAATACGTATGTTCGCAAACAACAAAATAGCAATATTCTAAAGTATCTTTAACAAACGTAGATAAGAATATCATTTGCGTAGGCTGAATTTCAGAAGAAAAGTAGATGCGCCAAGGAACAGAATGAAAAGACATTTTCAATTAATATCAAATTAGATTTCGAAGAATATGCGGAAATTTTGCTCCTTGATAATAATGAACAAATCAGTTGTATGAAAAAGCATAATTTGTTCTTGTTTTTTTTTTCTTTATCGCTGGTTATAATGCCTAATTCTATTGTTTCTTAAGTCATTTGACATTGTACACTTACTGAAATAAGTTCACATTTATCAAGCTAAACGAAACCGAATAGTAGATATTCCGAGTCAATCTATAACCTACAATGAAACATCTCGAACCGTCACGCGTCAATCGAACTCATGGTTTGTGTCTATAAAGGACTCGGTGATGTGAGTATGGAAGTAAGATGAATGGAACAGTCACATCCACACTCTTTCATCTGCGAAAGAACTTTCTATGCTTGCAAAATATTAAAAAAAAACTGAACAAAGTATCCTGACCTCAGATTTCGTCACTATAAGAGCTGCAACTCTGAACACACGTATGTCTGTAGTTCTTGATTAATGTAGCACAGCAGCAAAACCGGTACCCCGATTGCACGAAATGCAACAGATTTATAATGCGTGCAGATTTTCTTCATTGTAAACTGCATAGCTTATGAAAGGAAATGTTTCATAAGTTCAGAATTTCCTGATTTAGTAGGTTTATGGTTTGGCTATAAACGCTGAAAATTTTATTAAAGCTCATCGAACCTTTGTGGAACTAGGAACATGTCAATATGAGTATTGATGTAAGATAAACCTATCTGATCTCATTGTATGAGTGTTAGTTTGATGAAGGTTTGGCAAATCAACTTCAAATTTGCCGAAAGTGCTCTTTTCTAGCTGTCCTTTGCTCTTTGAAGTTGTCAGACTAGTATCAATTACTAGACACATATGACGCTATGACGAATATGCAGATATAGCCATAAGTCTCGATACTGGAACATTGAAGCGATCGACCTAATATTTCAGATGCATGATTAACATGTATTTGATCACGTTTCTGTCAAAAACAATTAAAAAACACCAGTTATCATGGAAAACAAGCGATATACTGATAGTGTATTTTTTGTCGTTATAACAAATTTGATGGGAGAACGGATGTAAATGAGGAACGCTATCTCTTTCACACTCTAATCCTCACTCCAACCAAGCACTATCACACAGTCTGGTAGAAAACTCTGTACAGCTTTTAAGTGCTTGATAAATATAGTTTGATTCTTCTACGAAAGTCAGACTTAATTCTAACAGTTTTTTCTGAGTATTTGAAAGAAAACAATAAAATACGTTGATAATGATAAATTTTTCTTATTTCATTAATATATTAACATGTAGCATTTACTAGCTAGTATCACGTTTTCACAATACACTTTGTACAAACTCTACATATTGTTCATTTTTTTATCCAAGAGGCTTACAACTTCGTATGCTTTGTCATCGAGGAAGGCACTCTTCCCGACTTCAACGGTATTACTATAAAAGTGATAGCAACTAGGATGTGTTACACTCTTCTAAGTCCGCTTCTCTAAGTACTAGTGACATTCATTTCTTTGAAAACGCGACACATAAACAAGGGCATTTTTTCTTCAAAAATCAGATGGAAACAGAAAAAGTTATGTTTCTGGTGGGCTTAGTAACGGGTTACGAGCAAAAACAAATTAGTAGTTCATAGTCAAAACGCATGAATTATCTAATTTGAGTTCGTATATAAATGAAGAATTAAGTGGCTAGCTAAGTCGAAAATAAATTTAAAAAAATAGAAAAAAACAATTCTATGTAATTTGAGCAAAAGGAGCCAAAGTTGAGATTTTCATCTCAATTATGATTTAGAAATTCGAATTTCACCCACGGAATCCTAAAACAATCTTCACAGAATACTGACAGCGTCACTCGAACATATTCATTACTTCTCCAGGAGATCCTCAACGCAGCTTTACGACAGAGTAACGATGTGGATGAATGTTTGAAGGTATGAATCTTCGCATCCATACTCACATCTGCAGTCACAATCTGGAGTAATTCTGCGACAGATCTTCAATAATCAGGTAGTCTTTCTTTCAGGGATTCGTATGACTTTCGAAAAACTTTATTTATTATCCGTAATTCCAAACAGCGGAGCTTGAATAAGGCATCTACTCACCTCATCTGATATCCAAGTTATAATTCAGATAAAATTGCATTTTTTGGTTTGTTTTTGCTTTTCCAACACAGATGTGATTTACAATTTATAGATTTATGATGTTTATAAATCGTATCTTTTCCTTTTTACAACCAAGATTCGGTTGCGACTCATATTTTATCTTTTCTTTTTCTGCTTTTTCAAGTGGATCAGTGTATACTATTTGTGAATTTATAATTTACGTGAATTTTATATTTTACTGTCTAACTTATATTTGAGCTCGAGTTAGACATCTATTCTCAAATCGATGTACTCCACAATCCAGGTTCATCTGATTGGGGGTGGGTTTGTATCGTGACCGCTTATTCACGCCCACACTCATCCTCCCGCAGGTATGCGAGAACTAGAAGCTCATACAAAGCTGGATCAGCGGCGGCGAAAAATCGATGTCTAAGATCTCTACGCGATACATCGCTTGGTCCATAAATCACATCAAGAAAATTTTCAGAATACAGCTAAACGTTATTTTATAAATGTTGCACAATTGTCGAGATATTTTCTCATTGTCAAACTATCCTTCTGTATCGATTCATGTTATTTGTTCGTAGTTTATCATCAACAATCAGTTTTTTTCTTGATATGAAACTGCCGTAGGTCTAATAATTAAACAAACGAATCAAAAAGTGTATATACTTATCTTTATTTTTCGTGATTAGGAAAATTTCAATAATAAAACAAGCTTTGAGAAGATCCTATTAATATGAGATAATTCAAATAATTCTATTTCATAGATTTATACTTAATCATCAAAGTGTTTGTTCAAGTCACTGTTAAGAATAATAGAAAGCAAAACGTTCTAAGAAAATAAATAGATCATATTGAATTTTATCTAAATCTCGATGAATTATCTAGTTTTTTTATTCAAATGATGAAAATTTCAGTTCTATATCAAATAGCAGTTTTTAAACAGCTAAGTTTGTTTTCATAAAGCATAAGCAGAAAAGAAATCTTACAGGGTCTATCGAAGTGTGCCTGCAGTACATTTTTATTGGCACCGCATTTTACTAGAATGTACACGTTTTTGAAAACATTGTAAGCCCAGTTTTTCTTAATTAGAAAGTACATTAAGTTCTACATCATTTTATATAAAAACTATAATCTTTTTACGAACTGTTAAGGACAAAAGTAATATTACTTTTCTCCGTTATTTCATCGAACACAGTTTTATTGCATACCATCTAACATCAATTTGATTCGTTTGAATTCTTTTCCATACAAGTCGATCACTGTTATATATCATTCGACACAGAAAATAAAGAGCTACAAAATGGTATATAATTTATTCATTCTCAGTTTAGGTCAGACATCTAATGTGTATTGCAATGGAGTTAAATATTATTTTGTAGCTCTTTATTTTCTCTATTGA